GTAAACTTGCACCTTAAAAATGCAGCTATATGGTCATGGTCTTGCAAACACGTGTGCGAATTTTGGGAAGAGGTGATAAAGGAAATTTCTGAAACAGTAGCCCTTTAGAACCCAAACTGTGACAGTTTTGGATGCATCAAAGACAGACTTAGCACTCATCATTTTGCTAGCTGCTCATTTGACCATATCACAGGGCTGGGACAAATCATTGGGCGTTACTCATTTGGTTCAATGTGGTAGCGTTTGTTTTTATTTCTGAGAAATTGACTCATAAGCTAAGGGTATCTTGGGGTGCAAAATCCATAGGGTTTTGCAGCCATTTGTTACTTATACTTACAGGAATGGCAAGTGATGAAATACGGCTTTATATGGCATCCACAACACTTATTTTGTGCTCTCTCTGTATCAGGCCAGTTTTTGTTGTAACATCTAATTCATTATGTAGTCTCTTTGACTTTGTTTTTATGGGGTAACGGCTGTGAAGCTTGTGTGTCCCCCCCCTTCCCTTTATTTCATTTCATATTTCTCTTACTGTTATTTTAACTTCGCAATAAAGTTTTGAAAACGAATAAAACCCCACATATAACAATTTTGGCTGACACGTTCAGTGCGACAAGAGTCGCAGCCTGCAGCAGTTCAGAACAGCAGGTGTCTGGGATTCACCCAGGCTTCCTTTGTGGAATGCCGATTAACCCGGGAAAAAGGACATTGCACAAAATGTTTTATTTGTCGTTCCTGGAGGTTGGAGGGCTGCCTTCAGAAGGAGGGAGAGGCAGGGCAGGATGTTGCCCACTGGTGAGAGCACACGGCGTTCTCTTCTAGGCAGCGTGCTGTTTGCCTAAAGAGACAACCTGCCATTTAAGTCCAGTGAGTTGATAATGGCTTAGTACATTCCCATCCTGCCTTTCTTTCATCACAGAACTCCAGCCTGTTATATGGGGTTCCCACGGAAGTCATCTACCCAGGCGCTGGCCAGATCCAGAACTGTTTGCCTTCTGCAAACTGCATAAAGTGCCAAGATTTCATCACTCCTAATAGCCTTTTTCCTCCAAAGAGAATGCCAGACAGGGTGGACCGGGCTGCTCCTGGGCTAACTTGCCTAAGCAGGATGCGTGTGTGTCATATTTGTAGAGCTCGCTCTGTATGTTTGTGTTCTGCATTTGGGTGGATGAAACCTGAACAGAAGTGGTGTGAGCTGGCTGGAAGGGCAACCCCCCCCCCTGCCCCTTTACAGGTCAAAAATGCCATTCTTCACTTTTGTAGCCCTTCCCAACTGCAAGATTTGGAGCAGGCAACAGGTCACTGTCAGCTAAAAAAAAACCTGGCAAAAATAGAAGCACGGACCCTGAATTGGCCTTGGTGCTGGAGCCATGTCAATTCTGCAGTTCTGCAGTTTCAGCATGAGCATGGAAATCAGCACCAAACTCCCCAAGAATTGACTTCCACTTTGGGAAATGAAATAGAACACATTTGTATGGGAAGCTTCCTTATACGGAATCAGACTGTTTTGCTCAGTAATGTCTACACTGGACTTTTTAAGGAGGCATTTTCATCCCTTGGCCTTTCTCCGCACCCCCTCCTTCGAAAACACCTCCTCTCCCCAGCCAAACCCTTGGGTTGATTGTCAGGAAATGCTTGGGGGCTAGTAGGGCAACTTCTTCCACTTTTTCCTTTCCTGGTGGTCTTCTCAAGTTTCCAGGTGGCCTTATAGGAATCATCAGATAGGATTGAGAGTCGGATGCGACTTTGAACTCACTTCGGTCTGGGCTCCTGCCTATCTGTTAGTAATGGAGCTGATAGCATTGTCTCTGAGTACTGGCTAATCTAATCACAGTGGAATAGAATTTCTCCAGGCCACAATGGAACTTTTAGCAAGTTGGGAAATGGCTACAAAACTTGCTAGCTCCCCTCCCTAATTATATTTGTCATTTGTGGCACATGGAATGCCTAGATGGTGAGAGGGGAGAAAAAGAAGCAACTTTCTTCCAGTTTGCTGAAAGTTCCCTACTTGGTTGCCTGGAGGTGATTCCTACTTGCTGCAGGTAACCAGACAAGTGGCTGATTTGCAAGTTCATTAAGGTAAAGGTAAAGGGACCCCTGACCGTTAGGTCCAGTCGCGGACGTCTCTGGGGTTGTTGCGCTCATCTTGCTTTATTGGCCGAGGGAGCCGGTGTGCAGCATGTGGCCAGCATGACTAAGCCGCTTCTGGCGAACCAGAGCAGCAAACGGAAACGCCGTTTACCTTCCCGCCGGAGTGGTACCTATTTATCTACTTGCATTGCGTGCTTTCAAACTGCTAGGTTGGCAGGAGCTGGGGCCGAACAACGGGAGCTCACCCTGTTGCGGGGATTCGGCAAGCCCTAGTTCATTATAGACCCATTATTTATTGAAAGCCCCTTTCTACAGTTTCACACTAACCCGCAGAACTAGTTGTGTGGAAAATACCCAGTGTGGGTGTACCTTGTACGTGCTGGACACCCTGAAAACATTTTAAATGTCTCTCAAAATGTGAGTCCTCAGCTATCGCTTTAAACAACAATATTACATTTTAATGCAACCTGATACGCCTTCAGTTTGTTTTGAAGCCAAGCCCCATAGTTCTTTCTGCAGGGTGATGCTGATATTGGAGGAGCTCGCTGGTCCAAGCTTTCAAATTCTTCCTTTGGCTTCTGATGGTACTTATGCAACAACTTCTTTTTATGGTTCTTTTGATGTCAGCATCTCATTGTGGCACTCACGGATGTCTTGGGCAAGCAGAGCTTGTCTCACTGATTGAATTGGCCCTTGATGTTCTCGGCGCAATGCTGGTATTGATCGCCTCATTCCATTACTTTCCAGCTTTGTTGGCTAAAGATGGGTGAGATGAAGCAGGCTGTGAAAACACTGCCTTTCAAAACAACCCAAATCTGTCGCATTTGGTTGATACAGGAAATTGCACAAATGGCATTTCAGAAGCGTGATGTGTTTGCCAGCCGTGGTCTGGTTTCCTTTTTTATATTTGTGTAGCTTTTGAAAAATTTGTACAAACAGGTGGGGGCCAATGAAAAAACAGCAGAGGGTAGAGAGGAAGGGGAAAGAAAACATTTTCTTAACACCTCTCTGCTTTTGCCTTTGCACCTCACACCTGGGAGACAGACTCTTTGACTCTTCTTTTCTGTCTTCCACAAGCTCCCTGTCTCAAGCAACTTTCAACATCCACATGGGATGTCTGTAAGACGTTACTTAGAATCATAGAATTGTAGAGTCCGAGGGTCGTCTAGTCCAACTCCCAGTGTCTAGCCCTGCAGCCTTTCTTCAGCTGACATGTCTCTGGGATCTTTTCATATTGCCTGCAACATTTTCCCAGGCCTCAGCCTGCCCTGACACAACTCCTCCTGTGATATCTTTGTCCCAGCGAAACCGACAACTTCCTCTTCCCCCACAGAAGCTGACCGCAGACATTCTCACAGCTTGGCCCCTTGAGTTGCTGCAATCTTGGGAGGCAAAATGCTGTGCCCTTTTACGCGTTTTCTCCATTCGGAGTTGCAGGCTTTGCCGCTGCGTGTGCAATAATACTACATGGATCTGCAATAATACTACATGGATCTGCAATAACTAGTTGGGCTACCAGTAGCCCAAGACCAGAAAGCAAGGACAATTTCCCTTCATCTCAGGACTCGTCAGGCAGGGAGGACCTCGTATCTTGCAGCACCTCAGATAACCAACAGCTGGGTGGGATTTTAGATGGGCATGCTATTCCAGGTTTCAGCTGAGAATTCTCTGCTACTGTGTGGCTCTTTATGCACTCATAAGCGTGGCACACTGTGTAATTTGAACTTGAAATGCTCCTGGCTCCAAGGCCCTATCATCAACTTAGCTTACATGCCACTTAACTTGTTTTAGAAGTTCAGACCTTTTTTTGGCACTGCGTCCTCAATTGTCTTTCCTGCGGATTTGCACAGCGAACGAGGAAACCAACGGACTCTTCCCTGTCTGGATCAGAGAATGGGGTGGGGTGGGGTATGGGCATCTTCTCTGTATTTATGGCCTGCCAACTTTCCTTCTGGGTTTTTTTTTGGGGGGGGGCGGAATTTCAAGCCGGCATCATCAAAGCAGGGGGTTTAGTGGGTGCTTGGCTGTTCATGGGTGCTGATAAATTGTCTGCATTTGCTGCCAGCTTGAAACCCTGGAAGAGAAGGGCACATGTCTCATGAGCTGCCTTTGGCTCTGGTGGGTGGGTGTGACTGCCCCCCCCCAGTCCTCTTCACCCAACTGTTTGGCCCTCCTGGAGGTAGGGAGGGCTGTTAAAAGAATTTCCTGCAAGGTCCCTGGTTCATAAGTTCTCTTCTGGACTCTGAAATATTTCTGTGCGTTTCCCTTGTGACAATGAGGTCCTCACCATCTGCTGCCTACAGCTTAGCACTGATAGATGCTCAGCTGCAAAGCTTCGTGTGAAGAGGCTGTGTGTTTTCATATTTAGCTTCCTTGCTATTTTCCAACCAGGTCAGCTGCCATGCCCCTTATCTTTATGCCCCGAAGCTTATGTTTTGCGGTTGCCAGAGAGGCAGAAGGAAGGCTGAATCATTCCTTTGCTCTGCAGGTTTTTCACAGAATGTGTGTGTGTGGCGTCTGGGTTTTCCTCTACCGCAAGATTGGCACCTCGGGAGGGTCTATATGTCTATAAAAAGACATGCAAGGGCAAAAATGCATGTGAATTTTCTGAAAATATCATCTTTGATGACCGGGTGGATGCTTTTGTATTCACCAAGCCTTTCATTCCCGCAGAATCAGAGGCATTTATATTCCAGGCCGGTCTTTCTTTCCTTTCAGTATCTCCCATTGAGAAGGTTTGGCTCTTGTTTCGGGATCCTCGAGTCCTGGGACGCCAGTGTTTCTCCAGAATTTATTGCTGGAACAGGGAGATTGAAAAGCGACCTGAAGGGAAGGGAGAAGAGGGCGATAGGAAGAGAAGATTGCCAGCCTAATGCTCCGAAACTACTTTGTGTCCCCTTTCTTGGCAGGTTCCTTAGAAAGAGAGCTTGGACGGCATGCAAAGTAGTGAAATATCTGCAGACAGCACTGATGATCCTCTTAGTAGTGGCCTACGAAGAAAGCGACAGCCGCGAATAGTAGTTATCGGCGCTGGGCTCGCGGGCCTCTCTGCGACAAAAACCCTCCTGGAGAATGGTTTCACGGATGTGACTGTCCTCGAAGCGTCTGACCGAATCGGAGGCAGGATACAAAGCGTGAAGCTTGGTAAGGGAATCGTTTCCTTGCAACGTGGCTTCCGGTTCTTGGCCAGCCTTTGCATAATCACCATAAGAAGGGGACTCCACATTAAGGTCCGTTTAGCCCCTGTGACCTGTTTCTCATGGTGGTCAGTCTCTGGGAATCTCACGGGCAACTGAGCATGACAGCCAAGAGCCACCCTCCATGGTGTGTGCCCCTTGCACTTAGGTTTACTGCCTCTGGCCCTAGGGGCATTGCTCTATTGTCATCCCCCTATTTATGATCGTCAGAAGTGAGTGCTGTTCCTTATGTAGCCAGAAAGGGCACTATCCATATATGAGAGGGAGGAATTGGCAGGCAAGGCTTGTGGGGAAAGCCCAAAGTAGGCAGAAGTACAGAAACATATTTAGGAGAAGACAATATTGAAGGGGAGGAGGTTCAGAAATAACCAAGTGAGTTCAGGGGCTGTAGAATGCTGTGGGGATGGGGGTGGCAGGAACGTAATGGAGTGTCCCGGAGGAGGTGCTGGCTGGCTGGCTAGAATGAAACCCCGTACATTTCGTTTAATGTCCTGCTTGTTACAGCTGATCGATGTGTCCTCCGTGAATTTGTCCAATCTGAACAATGTAGGAAGATTCTCCCTCTCTTTTCCTAGCAAATGAGATAAATATTACTCGAGAGTGTTTTATTAGAGGGTGGGGTCCTTTATGCCCAGTTCACTGGGCTCTGCAAAGTATCCCAGGATTTACCATGGCTTCGTGCCTTTTCCATTTAATTTTGCTTCCAAAAAAAAAAGTTCCTTTGCCCGTCTCGGTGCAGGAGGATCATTGTAGTTGTTATCTCAAATGCTCTTTGTTTTCACACGTGGGTTTTCGAGCTGTACTTGCTGCAGCCGGCTTGGCATGCAAATCGAAAGCCGTACCATTGGCCAGAATGGCGACGCGCAGCGTAAACGCCCCCCCACTCCTTCCGCATTTGTGTCCCTATAAATCGCACGCATTCCAGAGGGGAGCGGTGTTGAGTCTGTTACAGCAAAAACAAAGGAGCCTTGTGACTGCTTAAAGGCTTATCTGATCTGTGGTGGCAGAACCTTTCCCGGCTGAAACCCACATCATCAGATGTGTGAAGCGTTGCTCTCTGCTGGCAGATAAATATTCCTGAGCTTTGGGAAGAGAGATCACAGACTAAACTCTTTCATATTATTGGCTGTTCACACTCCCCTCCATCTCTGTCCGTGTGTAGGGATCGATCTACAGGCTGAGGATAATATTTTGTGCTTGTTCCATAATACACCTCCCAGCCTCTTTTCATTTTGGTTGGCTATCCGGAAGGGCTAACAGAGACCTATCTAGCATCCTTCGGGCTCAGTAGTCGAGCACCTGAGTGCCAAAGGTCCCAGGTTCCGTCCCTGGAAGCTCCAAGTAGGGATGAAAAAGATTTCTGTATGAAACCTTGGAGCAGCACTGCCTGTCAGTGCAGGGCGGGGAACACAGGGGCCAAATGTGCCCCTCCACTTGGCCCTTGGGACGCTCCCTTCACTTCCTCAGCCGTGCCCCACATTCCTAATCCTCACCAGCTGACTGGAGCAAACTTGCGGTGAGAAAGCTGGAGTGAACTATTAGCAAAACAGGATCTGCCTAATGACCACAGCAACTCAGGTGGTGCCCTGTAAAGCCATTGCTGAGACTATAGGTCCCTGCCTCCTCCTCTCCAGGGTCCCCCCCCCAATGCAATCTGAGACTGTGCCTGTGTGTCTGTGTTTGCTTCTCCCTCTTCATGCCTCTCCTGGTTCTCGGAGGCCAGCAAGGAGGGGAGCTTGTTGCAGCAGGAAGGGGAAATTAAAAGCCTGACCCATCTTTGGCCTCCTGTTCTCCTGCTTCAGCTTCAGCTTCTGGGCTTTTCTCTGCCATAGACTCTCCTTGCTCACTGAGCCCTGTTTTCTCTTTGGCTTCTGGCTCCTCCTCTTCCCAGTCTTCTCCTCTTCCCTCCTCCGACCACTCTTTGTTGTCCCACCACCAGTCCCCGGGCTCTGAGCCTTTGTGCCTTGGGGATTCCCCAGCTGCTGCCTCCCACCTTTCCTCTGCATCCAAGATGCCAGCTATATCCTGCATCCTCCTTGAGTGTCATTGCCCAGCTGAAATGTGTCCTTGAACCCTGAACAATGCTTGTATTGCTTGGCTGAAGGAAGGATAGAGAGGAGTCGTGAGGATGGGTGAAACTTTGCTGTACCAAGGAACAGTTAAAAGTAATAGAATAACAACAACAACAACAACTACAATAATAATAATAATAATAATAAATTTATACCCTGCCCATCTGGCTGAGTTTCTCCAGCCACTCTGGGCAGCTCCCAATAGAATTAGTAGAATTAGTGATGATGATGATGATGATGATAATAAAGTGATAAAACATCAGACATTAAAAACTTCCCTAAACAGGGCTGCCTTCAGATGTCTTCTAAAAGTCAGATAGTTGTTTATTTCCTTGATATTGGGGAGGGCATTCCACAGGGCGGGTGCCACTACCAAGAAGGCCCTCTGCCTGGTTCCCTGTAACTTCGCTTCTTGCAGGGAAGGAACCGCCAGAAGGCCCTTGGCGCTGGACCACTGAATGATGGGGGTGGAGATGCTCCTTCAGGTATCCTGGGCCGAGGCCATTTAGGGCTTTAAAGGTTAGCACCAACACTTTGAATTGTGCTCGGAAACCTACTGGGAGCCAATGTAGGTCTTTCAGGACCTGTGTTATGTGGTCTTGGTGGCCGCTCCCAGTCACCAGTCTAGCTGCCGCATTCTGGATTAGTTGCAGTTTCTGGGTCACCTTCAAAGGTAGCCCCACGTAGAGCGCATTGCAGTAGTCCAAGCAGGAGATAACCAGAGCATGCACCACTCTGGTGAGACAGTCTGCGGGCAGGTCATTCATCCACATTTTTGCCTTAACACAGAGTCAAGCCATTCGTTTGTCTTTCTCAGTACAGTGGTACCTTGGGTTACATACGCTTCAGGTTACAGACTCCGCAAACGCAGAAGTAGTTAAGAACTTTGCTTCAGGATGAGAACAGAAATCGTGCTCCGGCGGCGCGGCAGTAGCAGGAGGCCCCATTATCTAAAGTGGTGCTTCCGGTTAAGAACAGTTTCAGGTTAAGAACGGACGTCCAGAACGAATTAAGTACTTAACCCGAGGTACCACTGTATTGTCTATACGGACTCTCCAGTGGTTCAGGCAAGTGTCTCTCTTGGAGATGCCGGGGATTGAACCCGACACCTTCCGCATGCAAGGCAGATGATCCACCACTGACCCACAACGGGAGGATGCTCTGGGGGAACTTCCTCTTCATCCTGGAGAAGAGTGACTAGTGGGGTGCCACAGGGTTCTGTCTTGGGCCCGGTCTTATTCAACATCTTTATCAACGACTTGGATGATGGACTCAAGGGCATCCTGATCAAATTTGCAGATGACACCAAACTGGGAGGGGTGGCTAACACCCCAGAGGACAGGATCACACTTCAAAATGACCTTGACAGATTAGAGAACTGGGCCAAAACAAACAAGATGAACTTTAACAGGGAGAAATGTAAAGTATTGCACTTGGGCAAAAAAAGTGAGAGGCACAAATACAAGATGGGGGACACCTGGCTTGAGAGCAGTACATGTGAAAAGGATCTAGGAGTCTTGGTTGACCACAAACTTGACATGAGCCAACAGTGTGACGCGGCAGCTAAAACAGCCAATGCAATTCTGGGCTGCATCAATAGGAGTATAGCATCTAGATCAAGGGAAGTAATAGTGCCACTGTATTCTGCTCTGGTCAGACCTCACCTGGAGTACTGTGTCCAGTTCTGGGCACCACAGTTCAAGAAGGACACTGACAAACTGGAACGTGTCCAGAGGAGGGCAACCAAAATGGTCAAAGGCCTGGAAACGATGCCTTATGAGGAACGGCTAAAGGAGCTGGGCATGTTTAGCCTGGAGAAGAGGAGGTTAAGGGGTGATATGATAGCCATGTTCAAATATATAAAAGGATGTCATATAGAGGAGGGAGAAAGGTTGTTTTCTGCTGCTCCAGAGAAGCGGACACGGAGCAATGGATCCAAACTACAAGAAAGAAGATTCCACCTAAACATTAGGAAGAACTTCCTGACAGTAAGAGCTGTTCGACAGTGGAATTTGCTGCCAAGGAGTGTGGTGGAGTCTCCTTCTTTGGAGGTCTTTAGGCAGAGGCTTGAAAACCATATGTCAGGAGTGCTCTGATGGTGTTTCGTGCTTGGCAGGGGGTTGGACTCGATGGCCCTTGTGGTCTATTCCAACTCTATGATTCTATGATTGTATGTCCTGGCTGCGCTGCAAATGACTTCCTTCTCTGCTTTTCTCATGGCAGTGAGCTGGTTTCCTTTACTATTTGGCCGTGCCCCTGTTATAATCACCGGAGAAAGGGGCCCTAGTCCCCCCCCCCACTTCCTGCTCCTTGCAGAAGCCCTGACATCACGCCCTGCGGTTCAGTCGATAAACACACCAGCAGTAAATTAAAAGCTGAACATCTGAGGGAAGTGGAGGGGAAAGGATGCCTTGCAAGCCCAGCATCCGCCTTTTCATTCAGGAGTTGCTGCTGAACGCTTGGCACCGGCCTGCGGATGGGAAGTGGGTCGTCCACTGCCGATACGCCGTGTCAAAAATAGCCCCCCTGGCAGGGTGTGCTGCCAGACAGAAGGGAAGTGCTCCATGCCCCGAGCCCTTAAGGGAGCCATCGCGTCACTCAGCACACCTGCGGGACGTTTCCTGGCTGTGTGGCCTTTATATATAGAAGGCTGGAGCTTCTCTGCATACAAAAAATAGCACAGCTGCCCAGATTTTGTAGCGGATTCTGTGCGCTTCTTTGCTTTTGCACGTTGGGGAGTCTGTACAGTGGTACCTCGGGTTAAGTACTTAATTTGTTCCGGAGGTCTGTTCTTAACCTGAAACTGTGCTTAACCTGAAGCACCACTTTAGCTAATGGGGCTTCCTGCTGCTGCCGCGCCGTCAGAGCACGATTTATGTTCTCATCTCAAAGTTCTTAACCCGAGGTACTATTTCTGGGTTAGCAGAGTCTGTAACCTGAAGCGAATGTAACCTGAAGCGTGTGTAATCCGAGGTACCACTGTACTGCCCTGGCTCTGTGCAACCCACAACTTCACGCACAAAATTCAGCATTCTTGTAGGGCCAAAGGGCGTGGGAACGGCCACTGTTACAGTTCCCCGTCTACAAGAAACCGTTCAGTGAGGTGGCACCTTATACTTTGGGACTCCCTGTTGGTAATCTCAAACCTCTCCCATGAGACCTGTCTGGCCCCCACCCCCACTTCTTCCTGTGATTGCAGAGGCCTTGTTTTAGCCATACACAAGGGCAGTTCTGGCAGAAAACTCCCGCCCTTGGGGGGAGGCACAGGGTTGTTTTGTTATAAAAGTAAAGGGATCCCTGACCATTAGGTCCAGTCGCGGACGACTCTGGGGTTGTAGCGCTCATCTCGCTGTATTGGCCAAGGGAGCCGGCGTACAGCTTCCGGGTCATGTGGCCAGCATGACTAAGCCGCTTCTGGTGAACCAGAGCAGCGCACGGAAATGCCGTTTACCTTCCTGCCACACCGGTACCTATTTATCTACTTGCACTTTGACGTGCTTTCAAACTGCTAGGTTGGCAGGAGCTGGAACTGAGCAACAGGAGCTCACCCCGTCGGGGGATTTGAACTGCCGACCTTCTGATCGGCAAGCCCTAGGCTCTGTGGTTTAACCCACAGCGCCACCCGCCTCCCATGTTTTGTTATATTCCTATGGAAATATGCATTCGTTCCCAGCTCAGGGAAAAGAAAAACAGCAGCAAAAGCACGCTGGATGTAGGTGATTGCAGCCTTTGTTTAAAACATACCCACGACTGCGGTAGTTGTTGCATTAATTGCAGGAGACTGCGTACTTTCCCCCTTCCATGCCTCCAAGAGGTCTTTTAGTCAGCAGGAGCATCTGTTGTCTAAAAGGATGTGATTAACGTCACACTTTGATGTCGTACATTTGCACCAAGCTCATCTGCTTTGAGGACTCTGGCTTAATGAGTTAGTAAACATTACAGGTGGCCTCGGTTATTTTTAGCCTGACTCGTCCCTCTTCTCTGCTTTGCACATCTGATGCTGTACGGAAACGAGGATGTTTCAGCCGGTTTCCTCCGCACTTCTGAAGCCATCGTGAGCATCCCCGGGCGCGCGGCGCTCCTGGCATCTTTGCAAGCAAGGTGGGATGGCAGTAGAGCCGATGGTCCCGCCGTCAGAGCGATGGTCTCGCTTTCATGGATGGTCCCACCACAGTGCGCATGGCAATTCCCTTATTTATTTATTTTTAAATTTTATTTTTTACCAACCAGCAAAACACAAATGGTGAAACCCCCCAGGCGGCTGATACATTGGGTATACAATATTCAATAATATGCATATTCAATAATATACATATTCAATAATAACATATTCAAGTTAACCATATTCAAGTTAACCATATTCAAATTAACCATATATACAGTTCTATATACCTTAACACTCTTCCTTCCACAATAAGGTAATAAGTCGCCGCATTTGGGACTTTTCCGTTCAGAGAAGCGGTGAGTAGCAGGAGACAGGACAGAAGTTTGCAAAATTATGTGTGGCATGGAGAAATTGTCATGGAATCAATAGAGTTGGAAGGGACCACGTGGGTCATCTAGTCCAACCCCCTGCAATGCAGGAATATTTTGTCCAACCTGGGGCTCAAACTCACAACCCTGGGATTAAGAAACTTCAGCTGGCGCAGAATTCAGCGGCCAGGTTGCTCACCGGAGCAAGACGGTTTGAGCATCTTACACCGATCCTGGTCCGACTGCACTGGCTACCAATTAGTTTCTGGGCCCAATTCAAAGTGCTGGTTTTGACCTATAAAGCCTTAAGCGACTCAGGACCGCAATACCTCAATGACTGCTTCTTTCCATATGAACCTATCTGAACCCTGAGATCATCTTCTGAGGCCCTTCTTTGTGCGCTTCCTCCTCGAGAAGGCCGGAGGGTGGCAACACAAGAACAGGGCCTTCTCTGCAGTGGCTCCCTGTCTGTGGAATGCTCTTCCCAGGGAGGTTCACCTGACTCCTTCATTATACACCTTTAGGTGCCAGGCAAAAGCGTTCCTTTTTAATCAGGTCTTTGGCTGATCTGATTACATCCTATCCCCTTTTAAAAGGTGTTATCTTTTTGGGTGGGGGGACTCTATTGGGTTGTTTTTATTTTTATTATGTATTTTGTGGTTTTATATCTTGAATTTATTCTGTGAACCGACCTGAGACTCCCGGGTATAGGGTGGTATATAAATTAAATTAATAATACGAAAGAAAGAAAGAAAGAAAGAAAGAAAGAGAGAGAGAGAGAGAGAGAGAGAGAGAGTGTCTCTTGGTCTACCAGCTGAGCTATCCAGCAGCTACTGGATAGAGAAAACCTTTTCTTCCTCTCTCAAGACACTAGAACTTATGGACATCCAAGGAAACGTGAGTGTTGGCAGATTCAGGATGGATAAAATATATTTGTTCACGTAATTAAACTGTGGAACTTGCTTCCCGAAGAGACAGGCGTGGCTACCAACTCACGGAGGAAGAGAGGGCTATCGATGGCTACTAGCCAGGATGAGAGGCAGCAGTGCTCTGTGGAAGGGAGAGGGCTCTGTGTTCGAATCCTGTTGCTGGTTTCCCACAGGAAACCGTTCCCACACTGTGAGAACAGGATGCTGGGCTAGATGGGCCATTGGCCTGATCCAGCCAGGCTCTTCTTAGGTCCCTATGGCAAAGGCTAGTATTGGTCAGTGGGAAGACATGGGGACCATCTCTGTTTGCAGCTGGTTTTCCGAGACAGCCCTTGGCTTTGCCTTTACCTGAAGGAGCGTCTCCACCCCCATCGTTCTGCCCAGACACTGAGGTCCAGCTCCGAGGGCCTTCTGGCGGTTCCCTCATTGCGAGAAGTGAGGTTACAGGGAACCAGGCAGAGGGCCTTCTCGGTAGTGGCACCCGCCCTGTGGAATGCCCTCCCATCAGATGTCAAAGAGAACAACAACTACCAGACTTTCAGAAGATGTCTGAAGGCAGTCCTGTTTAGGGAAGCTTTTAATGTTTAATAGACTATTGTATTTTAATATTTTGTTGGAAGCCGCCCTGAGTGGCTGGGGAAACCCAGCCAGATGAGTGGGGTATAAATTATTATTATTATTATTATTATTATTATTATTATTATTATTATTAAAGCATCCTAACGTAGGACTTCCTTCTCTCCCCCCCACCATAGAAAACGCTACTTTTGAACTGGGAGCTACGTGGATCCACGGTTCCAATGGAAACCCTATCTATCATCTAGCAGAAGATAATGGCTTACTCGAAGAGACGACAGACGGCGAGAGGAGTGTGGGCCGCATCAGCCTGTACTCCAAGAATGGGGTGGCTTATCACCTCACCAACAACGGTCAAAGGATCCCGAAAGATGTGGTTGAAGAATTCAGTGATTTATACAACGAGGTTTGTCGCCGATGAGTTCCTAAAGCAAATTTGTAGGCAGCACGGACCCACCCGTCAGAGCTGTTTGCACGGTTTCAGGGTTGACCAGGGAGCTTTTCAAAGAAGGGGTCGCTTAGGTGTGTTCCCCCCACAGGGACACATCTGCATGTAATATTCCCCCCCCCCCCCCGCTGAAATTATGCTTGAACAAAGCTTCCCGCTATCAGCACAAGGCTTTTCTGAAGCGTAATGGTGGCAGAGGGATGAGGGAATGGGGTTGTTTTGGGATCCAGGCAGAGGGCCTTCTTGGTGGTGGCGCCCACCCTGTGGAACGCCCTCCCATCAGATGTCAAAGAGAAAAATAACTACCAGACTTTTAGAAGACATCTGAAGGCAGCCCTGTTTAGGGAAGCTTTTAATGTTTAATAGGTTATTGTCTTTTAGTGTTTATTATCATCCCCCTGACAAAAAAAAACACAACCCAGTGTGCCAGAAACGGTGACCCCACTCCCAGCCACAATTTGAAGCCTAAGAAGCTTTCAATTGACTGCAAGAGAAGGCTTCTTTCAGGTCTAATAACAATCAAGGAGAGGCATTTTCTCCCCTACTGGTGCTGGTGTGTGTCTCAGCTGGGGAGAGTTAACTCTTTCCTTCCCACTTCTAACACCCCACCCTTTGCAGTTTGTGTCTCCCCTCAATTAACTGGGTGGCTGGCCTTATACTGAAGCCAACAGAAGGTCTTTTTTTTAGCCTAATCATTGCAGTGTGTGTGTGTAAGTGTGTGTAAGACAGAGGGATCTTCCTGGAAATTGCAACTGGTGTTAGAAGGATAAATCTTGCCTCCCCAGCTATGCTGTACAGGACAGTCATGTCCTACCCCCATCCCCAGTTAAGAGTAAAGGTAAAGGGACCCCTGACCATTAGGTCCAGTCGTGGCCAACTCGGGTTGCAGTGCTCTATTGGCCGAGGGAGCCGGCGTACAGCTTCTGGGTCATGTGGCCAGCATGACTAAGCCGCTTCTGGCAAACCAGAGCAGCGCACGGAAATGCCGTATACCTTCCCGCTGGAGCAGTACCTATTTATCTACTTGCACTTTGACGTGCTTTAGAACTGCTAGGTTGGCAGGAGCAGGGACCGAGCAACGGGAGCTCACCCCATTGCGGGGATTCGAACCGCCGACCTTCTGATCGGCAGGTCCTAGGCTCTGTGGTTTAACCCGCAGCGCCACCCGCGTCCCACTCCAGTTAAGAGTGGACGAGAGCAAAAACACCTTTTTCCAGGCCTAATTCACTTCTTCCTCCCTACTTAATTGTCATTTTGCGTGCGGGGAGGGAAAACGCGGGTGTGTGGTTGTGCATGTGTGCACTGCTGCAGTTTGTGTGGTGTGCACAACAGATTCCCCAGCTTGCAATTTTTGTTGTTGTTGTTTTTAATAAGTTTTTATTTAAGCTTTTCCCTGTTGCAAAACAGACATATAAACAGGGAAAGGTGCATCTGCGGTCTCCAGCCTGCAGTTGTTCGTACAGGCGCAAGAAAGTCTGGTGACCCTAGCAATCCGTCATGACCCACTTGGGACTGTTGCTCTTAAGTTTGTCTCCGCTGGCCTGGTGGGTTTCTCTTTCGGATCCTCCTTTGGCCAGCCACAGTTCCAGCCCCCACCTGACACCCCTCCTGTCCAAGTTTCAGGGTTTTCTAAGGTCCTGTTTCTTGACTCGTGCAAATCTGCTTTACTGTACTTTGTCTCATTTTATCCTCTCCGGGTCCTCGAGAAAGTGGATTAGATTAGGTAGAGAGGTTGAGACAGGGAGAGGCAGTTCATGAGCTCCGTCACTCATAAATTGGCACTTTGCTGCCTGTGCATGTGAAAGGGGGAAACGATCATTTGGAATCACACCAAATAGTGTGATAGCTCTCTCTCCACAGCTGAAGGCAGCGTTGCTTCTGAACACTAGTGGCTGAAAGTTACAGGAGACAGGGAGGGCCACTCTTTTTATACACACACAAACACACATATAAATTTTTTAGCATATCATTTTCAACAATGATTAAACATGCTTTTATATCTTATAAAAAATTTTTTTTACTTCCATTAATCACGTCTGAAAATTTTCCAATCTTCTCCACTTAATTTACATTTCTTACTTTCACTATTACATTTAAGTATCATAACTAATGTCTCTCTTCTTTGCAATATTTCATATATTCCTCCTTGCAAAACTTCTTGTAGTCCTACTGGCATAATTTGTTGGTTACGATTGCTCTTCAAATAGTTTGTATATTTCTTCCAATCTTCTGTGGATCTCTGGTCCCGCAGGTTTCAAATCCTGCCTGTCATCTTATCCAATTCTGCGTAGTCCATTAGTTTCGTCGGCAATTCTTCTTTCGTCAGTAATTCTTCTTGCTTCCATTTCTGGGCCAACAATACTCTTGCTGCTGTTGCTGCGTATAAAAACAGTTTAATGTCCTGTCTATTAATGTCCTCACTTATAATACCAAGTAAAAATGCTTCTGGGTTGTTTTTTTAAAAAAATATTATTTCAACATCTTTTTCATCTCATTATATATCATTTCCCAGAAGTTTTTTACTTTCTTATATTCCCACCACATATGATAAAATGATCCTTCTTTTTCTTTACATTTCCAACATTTATTACTTGTCTTATACATTTTAGCTAATTTCACAGGTGTAATATACCATCTATACATCATTTTCATCATATTCTCTTTTCAAAGCATTACATGCTGTAAATTTTATTCTTTCTTTCCACAACCTCTCCCATTCTTTTAGCTGTATATTATATCCAAAATCTTTGGCCCGGTGTATCATAGCCGATTTCACATCAATCTAGAAGCCTTTTAAAAGAAGATAACACATACAGTGGTACCTTGGGTTAAGTACTTAATTCGTTCCAGAGGTCCGTTCTTAACCTGAAACTGTTCTTAACCTGAAGCACCACTTTAGCCTATGGGGCCTCCTGCTGCCGCCGGAGCACGATTTCTGTTCCCATCCTGAAGCAAAGTTCTTAATCCGAGGTACAGTGGTGCCTCGCAAGACGAAATTAATCTGTTCCGCGAGTCTCTTGCGGTTTTTTCGTCTTGCGAAGCACGGCTATTAGCGGCTTAGCGGCTATTAACGGCTTAGCGGCTTTAAGAAAAAGGAAACAAACTCGCAAGACGTTTCGTCTTGCGAAGCAAGCCCATAGGGAAATTCGTCTTGCGGAACGACTCAAAAAACGGAAAACCCTTTCGTCTAGCGAGTTTTTCGTCTTGCGAGGCATTCGTCTTGTACTATTTCTGGCTTAGCGGAGTCTGTAACCGGAAGCGTATGTAACCTGAAGCGTATGTAACCCGAGGTACCACTGTATTCATGGAGGAGAGGGCTAGCCATGGCTACTAGTCATAATGGTAATGCTTCTCTCTCCATCTCCACAGTTCAGTGCTTCTGAATCCAAGTCACTGGAAACCACAGGAGGAGAGAGTGCTGCTCTTGTGTTCAAGAGCAGCTAGTTTCCCAAAGGCACATTGTTGGCCACTGAGAACAGGATGCTGGACTAGATAGGCCACTGGCCTGATCCTGCAGGCTCTTCTTATGTTCTTACCAGAAGCCAAGAGTGGTAGCTTGCCCCTGTGCATCCGTCACACATTTGGCAAAGGGAGGTGGCTCAGTGGGCGGGTATTTGCTTTGAATGCCGAAGGCACCAGGTTCCGTCTCCTGGTGGAGACCCCTGCCTGAAACGCTAAGAGCTGCTGCCAATCAGTGTTGACCATGCTCAGCTAGATAAACCAATGGGCTTACTCAGTATTAAGCCTGCTTCCTGCGTTCCCTGGTGTGGGAGGTGCAGCATTCCAAATAGATAAGCACCAACATGTGGCTGCACTGAACTGAGCCTTGGCCACAAGACTGAGTGGAGAGTCAGACCTGGGTTTCCTGCTTTGCAATAATAATAATAATAATAATAATAATAATAATAATAATAATAATAATATTTATACCCCACCCATCGGGCTAGGTTTCCCCAGCTACTCTGGGCGGCTTCCAACTGAATATTAAAAACAATACAGCGTCAGACATTAAAAACTTCCCTAAACAGGGCTGCCTTCAGATGTCTTCTAAAAGTCTGGCAGTTGTTTTTCTCTTTGACATCTGGCAGGAGGGCGTTCCACAGGGTGGGTGCTACTACCAAGAAGGCCCTCTGCCTGGTTCCCGGTAACCTCACTTCTCGCAGCGAGGGAACCGCCAGAAGGCCCTCAGCGCTGGACCTCAGTGTTTGGGCTGAATGATGGGGGTGGAGACGCTCCTTCAGGTATACAGGACTGAGGCTGTTTATCTGAATTGTGCTCAGAAATGTATTTAAAATAACATGAAGAGGTCAAGCCCTGTACCGTGAGCCAGACTTGATATCTGTCCTTTTCACCCGACGGTTTCTCATATATGTGTGTGTTGGGTCCCACGTTGGTCCCAAGATTCCTGCATTGACCCTCGTGGTCCCTTCCAGCTCCACAGTTCTGTGTTCCACAGTCCTATGTGTGTTTACTCGGAAGGAAGCCCCTCTGCACTGTTCTGTACTGCTCCCTCCCATGTAAGTCTGCCAAGGGCTCCAGCGTTAGAGGTTTCCAGCACTGAGCCTGCCTGCGAAAAGCTATGGGGGCTACTTTGGAGATGTATTAATTAGATCCTCTTAGAACATTCCTAGCGCCACTCAAAATGCAGGGAATTAGGGTCATGCAGCTGACTTAAGCTCTCCCCCTACTCCCTCCTCTTGGGCTTCTTCAGCAACTGGTTCAGATAAGTGTTTAAAGTTTTAAAAAGTAGGCCCTTTTTGTACAAAAGGAAAAGGGAAGGGCAGTCAAAAACAGGGTGTGGCTAATTGAGCCTCTGCCCAGTTACTTAATGTAATTTAATGTGGTTTTGCACTCCTTGTGAACGTGCAATCTGCTTACGGCCAGCGAGCGGCTTATGCAAGCTGCCTGGCGTTCTGCTGAAGCCAAGGGTTGCAGCGACTTTGATATCTTTGTGTAAGCCAGGGGTTCAGACCTCCCCAAAGTGCTCCCCGGTGAAATCCCCCAGTTCCATTAAATGCAGCGGGAGGAGGAAGCTGGGTGCCCAGCCTCTAGTTGGAAACACCAGGCCCTTGATCATGTTTCTGTAGCTACGTGATCAAGGTCACATCGCCCGCCTTGGCTGATTAGTTCCCTCGAATTACTGGCCATCAAAGGTTGTTTTTCCCTCTCTGCTTACCATGCATGTTGACACAGAGCTTATTATCCATGTTCCGGTGGCTAGTTTCATGTGGAGAGCGAATCGGGATGGCAAGAACTCTGTCCGTGGAAAATGCTCAGAATGTTTAGAATTGCAACACTGTTTGAGGCTAAAATGGCCCAGTCTGGGCTGCGTTGCTGCTTTTAAAAGGTTACATTTACTTCTGCGGCCCAGTTAGCCTGGAGGATGGGTTGTTATAGGGTGGGATGCAGCTTCTACGGTGTCAGTTTGGTGATTAAATATGTGAAACTTTTGAGTTTCTTCTGGCGGTTCCCTCCCTGCGAGAAGCGAAGTTGCAGGGAACCAGGCAGAGGGCCTTCTTGGTGGTGGCACCTGCCCTGTGGAACGCCCTCCCGTCAGATGTCAAGGAAATAAACAACTATCTGACTTTTAGAAGACATCTGAAGGCAGCCCTGTTTAGGGAAATTTTTAATGTTTGATATTTTACTGTTTTATATATGCTGAAGGCCACCCAGAGTGGCTGGGGAAACCTAGCCAGATGGGCGGGGTATAAAGAAAACAACAACAACAACACTCCTCAAGGACAAAATAAAATAATAAAAAAAAATTCCTTCCAGTAGCACCTTAAAGACCAACTAAGTTAGTTCTTGGTATGAGCTTTCATGTGCATGCACACTTCTTCAGATACACTGAAACAGAAGTTGCCAGATCCTTCTATATAGTGAGAAGGTGGGGAGGGGTATTACTCAGAAGGGTGGTGGGAATGGATGATTGGCAGATAGCTGTGATGAGCCTGTTGACGACTCTTAACGACTGCAATAGGTCTTACAGGAAAAAGCAAGGGGTGAGAAGGTGAAAAATGGCTTTGTCATGTATAATGACATAAGAATCCAATGTCTTTGTTCAGACCAGGTCTCTCCATGGTTTTAAGTTTGGTAATGAGTTGCAATTCAGCAGCTTCTCTTTCCAGTCTATTTCTGAAATTCCTTTGTAGTAAAACAGCTACTTTGAGATCTTGTATAGAATGTCCTGGGAGATTGAAGTGTTCTCCTACTGGTTTCTCTGTCTTGTGATTCTTGATGTCAGATTTATGTCCGTTTATTCTTTGGCGTAAGGTTTGGCCTGTTTGTCCAATATAGAGAGCTGAAGGACACTGTTGGCATTTGATGGCATACACAATGTTAGACGATGAGCAATTAAATAGTCCCGAGAAGCACTATATAGATCCAAAATATTGCTCAAGGAAGCACTATATAGATCCAAAATATTTTGTATAATTATTATTATATGTTACAAGGTAAATGTGCAGTTTCCCCTGGGTTTCCTCTAAATCCCAGGCAAATAGTTTATACAGTCGTACCTCGGAAGTTGAACGGAATCCATTCTGGAAGTCCGTTCGACTCCCAAAGCATTCGGAAACCAAGGCGTGGGTTCTGATTGGCTGCAGGAGCTTCCAGTCGGAACCTGCGCCTGACGTTCGGGTTCCAAAGAATGTTCGCAAACTGGAACACTCACTTCCGGGTTTGAGGTGTTCGGGAGCCAAAATGCAAAGCATTCTACTTCCAAGGTACGACTGCAAAAGCAGGCATTCATCAGTTGGACTTACATTTAATACTGTTTTTAGTGTCTGGTTTGCTCTAAGGTAGCTGTGGAACGCACAACACATCTGACGCATTGCTTTCCTTGCTAATGTAGCTGTTTTAGAATGTTGTTGTCAGGGCCGCCTCAGGTCCCAGCTCACAAGAGACCAACGCCAAGTCCACTTTATTTACAAAAGTCTTTATTGAAGTACATTGTTTGTTCCACAGCCGAGGCGCGCAGCCCCACGTCTGTTACGCTTAGACCGCTGAAGTCCCCTCTGAATCAGTCCCGCCTCTACACCAGTTTAAGAAGCTTGTGCTGGTCCACCTCTTCCTGTCCTTCCTTTTCCGCAGGGTCTTTCTGCCCCCCTGGGTTCCTTCCCTCCTGCTTTCCCCTGATGCTGAGTCCCCAGACGCCTGCTCCCCCCTCCTCCGTGCTTTGGGACCAGGCTCCTCCTCCGGGCTCTCCGCATTTCCGCGCGCCTCCACATTTGAACTTGGCGCGCGTTCGCTACCCCTGACCTTCCTCTTGACAGTTACACTACTCTCTGTACTACTCTCCGCCCCTTCCGGCAGGACGTCTTGCCCCGAGCTCCTTCCCCTTCTCGCTCTCCTGCTCTGCTCCGGCTGTCACATGGGAACTCCAGCCCTTCGTTCACTTCACTCCGTCGGGGAAGCCGGCCCCGATCTCCCACTCCACCCGTTTCCCTGCTGCTCCCCTGCTCCTGACGGCCCCCTGTGCTTCCCCTTGGCGACCAGGGGCGCCCCCTTTTGAATCCTCCGATTCACTTGATAGACTCATGAAGCCCTCAAGTCATTGGTCATTCCTCCTCCTCCTCTTCCTGGTTCTTCCCCTCGCTCTTCAGTCTCCTCCTTCATCTGTGCCTCTCTCCGCTGAACCCCTGACAGTTGTGTTAATTATTTCTTGCTGCAAACATGGAAAATATTTGTATGTCCATAACTAGTAGGTTCTTCTGGTAACTATAAGCTATTTAATACACTTGTCCCATAATAAAAGAAACTTTTCCAGCAACCATTTCCTTGAAACAGCTGTGCAGGTTTGCATTCCCACCACGCCTGGACGTTATGGTGTTGTTAACCCCCTTTGTGTGTCCCCTCTCCCTGTCTCGAGACAGGTCTATAACCTGACTCAGGAGTTCTTCCAGAGTGGTAAACCAGTCAATGCCGAGAGCAAGAACAGCGTGGGCGTCTTCACGCGAGATGTCGTGCGCAAGCGCATCAAAGCCGATCCGGACGACTCGGAGACGATCAGGAGGCTGAAGCTTGCCATGATCCAGCAATACCTTAAGGTATGGACAGCGATGGCGGGGGTTTGCTTGAGACGTTGCAGCACCATATAGCATAGGCTGGCAATAGCAAGTTGGCACGTGGCTGAGATTTTCAACACCCCATTTGTGGAATTCTCTGCCCGGGGCAATTTGACTGGTGCCTTCATTCTACACCTTTAGGTGCCAGGTGAAAATGTTCCTCTGTAACCAGGCCTTTCCTGATTCACATTCATCACCCTTTAAAAATCTGTTGTTGGACAGAGGAGTTACTGGGTTCTCCTTGTCTTTATTCCTGTTACGAATTTTTCGTTTTTTCTGTTGTGATTTTACATTGTAAGCCGCACTAGGAGAAGAACAGCCCCCATCTGAAAGCCCTTCTTCTCTGCCTGCTTTTCCCTAGGTGGAGAGTTGCGAGAGCAGCTCCCACAGCATGGACGAGGTGTCGCTCAGTGAATTCGGGGAGTGGACCGAAATCCCCGGGGCCCACCACATCATCCCGTGCGGCTTCATGAAGATCGTGGAGATCCTCTCCCGCGCCATCCCGGAGTCGGTCATCCAGCTGAACAAGCCGGTCAAGTGCATCTACTGGAACCAGTCGGTCAGCAAGGAGATCGAGGGGGTGGCCGACCACAACAGTGACCGCACGGGGGAGCGGGACATGGGCTACCACGTCTGCGTGGAGTGCGAGGACTGCGAGTTCATCCTGGCCGACCACGTCATCGTGACGGTGTCCTTAGGGGTGCTGAAGAAGCACCACGAGAACATGTTCCACCCCCGGCTGCCCGAGGAGAAGGTGATGGCCATCCAAAAGCTGGGCATCAGCACCACGGACAAGATCTTCCTGGAGTTTGAGGAGCCCTTCTGGAGCCCCGAGTGCAACAGCATCCAGTTTGTGTGGGAGGACGAGGCCGAGGCTGAGAGCCTCACCTACCCCGAGGGGATGTGGTACAAGAAGATCTGCAGCTTCGACGTCCTCTACCCGCCCGAGCGCTACGGCCACGTGCTGAGCGGCTGGATCTGCGGGGAGGAGGCCCTGATCATGGAGAAATGTGACGATGAAACCGTAGCAGAGACTTGCACTGAGATGCTGCGTAAATTTACAGGTCTGCGGCTGCCCCCACTGCCTTGGCGTTTGGGTCCGGAGAGCGGAAAGGGCTGGGCCGGGGTGGGGTGGGAGGCAACACATTTAAAGCCGTCGTGACTTTCCCAGAGAATCATGGGAAGTGTAGTTTACTAAGGGTGCTGAGGATTGCAGCCCTGTGGGGGTTCTCCTAGCAACTCTCAGCATCCTTCACGAACCACAGTTCCCAGGGTTCTTTGCGGGGAGCTATGATTATTGAAGTGGCACAGGACTGCTGTAAAGGTCTGGTGCGGATGCGACCATGGTAAAATAAGGATATGGGTTAATGTGTCATGCTCAGATTTTAGCTTTTCTACACACTTAAAGGGTTGCCTTAGGAAAACATATGTCTCAGCCTCAGTTCACCATGCAGCATTAAAGGGGTGGTACTAACTGCAGGTGTGCAAAGCTCTGCAATTGAGTTCTGCCTTGGTTCGTCATTATTGATCTTCTCATTACTTAGGACTCTTGGTAAATTTCAGAGGACCCTGGCGCGCAGCTTGGAAAATTCTGCCATGGCTCCTCCTGGGAAAATTATCCCATGAACTTCGCCTGCGCACAGCGTCAGAGCTAGACTCTGTCATCTTTTCCATTCGTGATCACTTGTGTTTGGTGCCCCTTTCATCCCAGAAACTATTTATCTAGGGGGACTTTGATTTCCCCCACATGTTAGCATAATGGATTATTTGGATTTGCTGTCCAAACACCCCGGACTTCAGGCAGGCTACGAGCCATTGACAACTGCGGCTCTTTGTAAACCTGATTAAAGTGGTGCCTTGTTCAAAACAACTCAGTTTCTTGTACACAACCTTTGTCGGCTAAGCCCTCGGATGTTAGGTGCCTGGATTTTAGGGGAGCCAGAAGCTTTCAAGTTCACAGGATTGCTGTATCTTCTGGCTGCTGCCCAACCATTCAGGAGCTCACGGGTGCAACCGTGCCTCTCGCCCTTTTGCGCTGTGTGTGTGTTCCTGAGGATGATTTTAGCCATGCTAAAATCCCAGCTCTCCTTTTGATCTTTCCATGTTGCTGTGATATTACTCAGATGGCTTCCGCATTGGAATTGAGCCACACCTTTGGTCTGAAGTCAATAATCAGTTGCTACAAATGTGGTTGCCAGCAGCCCACCCATCTTCTGAGTGTGGTGATCTCCTGTTCCATTGCAGAGTGGGGCTCATTTGAGGAAAAGGCTGTAGTTTAGAGATAGAACATCTGCTTTGCAACATCCAGGTTCAGCCGCCAGCATCTTCTAGCAGGACTGCAAATGTCTCCTACCTGGAAACCTGGAGAGCCTCTGGTCTGACCTGATAGAACACAGTTTCCTATAATCCTTTCTGGAGTTGCAACAAAACTTAAATAGTCATATAAACAATAGACTAATCTCATGTTAATCAACGGACAATAAAATTAAACAGTGCACTGATAATTCACAATAAAGTCTAAGCATAACACTTCGCTGCTGCAAACACAGCAAAAACAACCCAAGAGTTAAAAACTCAACTTGATTGGCGTAAGGGACGAGCGCCTCAGGTTGTCTTTGTCGGTGGGAGAGATCATTGTGTCTCACTGGTCAGCTACTGCCGTCCCCGGTCCAATAAGTGCTGACCTGCCACTGTCTGCCTGCTTCAATGGGTGCATGGAACTCAGCGTATCACTTGACAAGAGAACTGAATTTCTGCACCAGCCAAAAAAGAACCCAAAAGTTTGACTTCACCCCCAAAGGTGCACCCCTCTGTTGTCTCCTGAGATAGATGATAAAAATACAATAACATAATCAAGGTGGCACTTTTGAAACTAAGTCTCGACCCCAAGAAAAACCCTGAAACAGGAGATGGCAGAGTCTGCTAGTCCAGTCCCTCAGTACTCCAACCCAAGATAAAAACTCATACTAGAAACATGGATTAAAGTACACTGATTTCCTCCAGAACACGACTCTTTCAATTAATCCATCCAATGTTTATCTGAACCCACCAGGAGTCACTGTCAGTGAAGTGTGTGCACGTTTTCACAGGGCTATGCAATATATATCTGGTTGGCTGAACTTGGATTATTTTTCCAGGCCTCTTCCCCTGACGACTTTGCGCCTTCTCTTTCGGTCTAGGGAATCCGGACATTCCGAAACCTCGGCGGATCTTGCGATCCTCGTGGGGCAGCAATCCTTACTTCCGCGGCTCCTATTCCTACACTCAAGTTGGGTCTAGCGGAGCGGACGTGGAGAAACTCGCAAAGCCACTGCCTTATACCGAGAGCTCCAAGACAGTTGTAAGTATTGTCCCGGAAACGAACCCCTTGAAAGTACGCTCATTTGGAAAACGGGCCGTTGGGTAGGAAAAAGTCCGCAACGAATTGTTAAAACTAGGAAGAGTGCAATTTTTTTGTCTGGGGTGTAGTAGAAAGGACTAAGGGCAAACAGTCACTTTCTGTCTTATTGCCAATATTAAACGAATTAATTGACGTAAATCCTTTCTAGTTAGCATTTAAAACAGCTTGAGAATTGTAGGCTGGATCCTCCAGTCCCTAAATCTTAGCCCCAAAGAACATGCAATGGCAATTGCAGGATCCAAGCTACGTGTTTGTCAATGGAACCGCAGGACTAAGCTGTCTTCATAGCATTTATTTAAGATAGTATTTTTATGCAGCCATATTATAAACTATCAGGGCAGTGTGTAGTAGTAGTAGTAATTAAGGTTTAATAAGTTAACTCTTTATATTTGGACAACTTTTCTGCTGTACTTTCTTGGAAGGAGAAAAATAATCATTTCCTTAATAACAATTTAAACAATTCATTTAACTAAAGCAATAACATTATAGCACATGTATCCGTGTTTGTTAACTGATGTGGTTAAACAATTTAAAAACAAAACAAAACTTTGATTGAGTTTTAGCACACATGCAGAACTTAAAACAAATCCTTATTTCCTGATGAATAGCCTTTGGATTATAATGTAACTTAAATAGAAAACTATCTTTAGAAAGATTTTTCCTCCAAAAGCATTTTATTTTAAAAATCCGATTTAAATTTTTTAAAAATTCTGATTTTTAAAAAAACATCTTTGGTTTTATCCACCCTGATTTTCTATGCAATTTTTCACACATTTTACTTAAATTTTAATTCAACCAAAACCTCTTTTGACTTCCCGTGTCATTTTACAGCGGTTTTTTTCTTTTTTTTGCACCCCTCGTTTTTGGAATTTGAAAAGGAGAACACACCCCACTCAGGCAGTAGTATCCTTTGCCCAAGGCGTTCAAGTCTCTCCCCCCCAAAAAAAAACCAACAACCCCACACCATGTGTTCACGGAACATGGTGCGTTTGTGTTTGTGTGTGTATCTGCAAAGGGCTGTTCTCTTTCAAGACGCCTTTGGCTCTGCACATCTCATGAAAGCCCTTTATTGCATGAATGGAGGAGCGCCAGCGTCCATGCAGTTCCGTGTGTGCTTTTGCCTTTGTCCAGTCCTTGCCTCCCCCTGACATTTTTATCTCTCCAAATACCTTTTCCTGACGTGTGTTCTCTCCCCCTGTCCCCAACCTCTCCCCTCCCTCCCTCCCTCCCTGGACCCCCAGCCTATGCAGGTGATGTTTTCGGGCGAGGCCACCCACAGGAAGTATTATTCCACTACCCATGGTGCTTTGCTTTCTGGCCAGAGGGAGGCGAACCACCTCCTCGAAATGTACCAAGACCTCTTGCAATGCAGAAACTGAGAGGGGCCTGAACCACTAACTCGTGATTCCTTTTACGGCTGTGTGTTTAAAGAAGTCTTTCTTTCTTTTTTCCTTTTCTAAAAAAACAAACGAACTAAAAAAACATTTTTATCTTTTTATATCTCTATAAAAGTCTTAATTCTTTTGACCCGTAGTTGACTGATGGTAGTTTATTTCCATGTACTGTATCTGTCGACAGGAAAAGCTTGCTCTTCCTGTCTGAGTGAAAGCTATCTCTCTTTTTCTTTTCTTTTCTTTTGGTGTAATTTTGATTTCTGATTGCACATCTGGTGCTTCTCCCCCCCCCCCCCTCTTCCCCAGGTCCCTGGTATTGTAAGTGCCTTCTATATTTCAATAAATGTTGTCATAACCACTGTGCTCTCGTGTGGCTCCATTTCAGCAGGGCTTGTCCGAGACTAGATCACACTCATCAGCATTTTTCTAGGTCGAAGCATAGCAGTGGCATCCTCCGTGGTGATTTTGCGGGGCATTGCTTTCTTTGCCGAATTTGGTTTTGCAAGTTCAGCCTTGCAGTTGCTGGAAGCCACAGGTGGGAAGAGCTGCAGTTAGGTCCTTCTTGCATGCTTTCTGCAGGCATCTGGTTGGCCACTGTGAGACCAGCATACTACTGGACTAGTTGAACCATTGGTATGATCCTGCAAGGCTCTTCGCATGTTCTTGTGCCCCTTTGTCTTGGAAATGGAAGGTCGGGCCCTGTATTTGGGTATAAACTGTGCCCAGATATTCTCTCTCTCTCTGTCTAACCCTTAATTGTTGTGCCTAGCCTAGACTCACAAAGGGGACGCGGGTGGCGCTGTGGGTTAAACCACAGAGCCTAGGACTTGCTGATCAGAAGGTCGGCGGTTCGAATCCCCATGACGGGGTGAGCTCCTGTTGCTCAGTCCCTGCTCCTGCCAACCTAGCAGTTTGAAAGCACGTCAAAGTGCAAGTAGATAAATAGGTACCACTCCGGTGGGAAGGTAAACGGCATTTCGATGCACTGCTCTGGTTTGCCAGAAGCAGCTTAGTCATGCTGGCCACATGACCCGGAAGCTATATGCCGGCTCCCACGGCCAATAAAGCGAGATGAGCGCCGCAACCCCAGAGTTGGCCACGACTGAACCTAATGGTCAGGGGCCCCTTTACCCTTTACCTAGACTCACAAAAGCGGGTTGAACGGCTCCTCCAGCAAGCTAGACAACACATTTCGTGACGTCCTGTTTGGGCTAGCTTAGCTCCGATAGCTGAAACACTGGCTATGCACAGCAGTTCTACTAGGGCTGGGTGATACCTGGTTTTCAACATCATGATACATCACATCGCGATATACTGATATATCACAATGTCTGAAATAAGGATGGAGCTCTGTAGAGGCATTGGCTGGCTTCGCAGTTTCCCCCATATCGTGATATTTGCATAGCATTCACACATATACACATCACGATTCACGATATATTGCCAGGTCAAAAAGATGAAACCGATATCATGATATGGACTTCAAGCTGGTTTGGGACGATATATCAATATATCGTCTAGCCTTGCAGCCCACCCTTTGGGGTTGCGCTGTGTGGCAAGCTGATATCCCTTTCTTTGACTCCTTCTGCTCTGCTTTTTGCGAGCAGATGAAACATCAGTCCAGGGAGTTGGCTGCCAGCGATTTACAGTGTTGACGTTCTTCCTCTTGTTTCGTTGTTTATGAAGCAATGGCTCAGAAACTGCCTGCTTGCCTTTGTAGTCTCATCTCCCATCATCTGTTTCTATACTGCTTCCCCACAAGATGCCCGAAGGACCTCACTACATCTCCAAATAAATGGTGACAATTCAAAACATGTTAGAAATGGTGTTCAGTAATCAGCAAGCTCAAAAAATCGGTCTGTACAAAATTGTATGAAACGATGATTAGAATCAGCGAGAACTGCCTCTGCGTCGCATTATTGCTGCTGTCTCTTTAAAAGAGTACGTTTTAAAAGAGCCCTGGAAAGCTGCTGCCAGTCCATGTAGACAATACTGAGCTAGGTGGAGGAATGGCCTGACTCTGTGTTAAGGCAAAAGAGTGGAGGAATGACGTTTAACTGTTCCTTGGTACAGCAGGAGAAGTTTCACCCAGTACGTTTCCGGGCATGATTCAAAGTGTTGGTGCTGACCTTTAAAGCCCTAAATGGCCTCGGTCCTGTATACCTGAAGGAGCGTCTCCACCCCCATCGTTCAGCCCGGACACTGAGGTCCAGCGCCGAGGGCCTTCTGGCGGTTCCCTCCCTGCGAGAAGTGAAGTTACAGGGAACCAGGCAGAGGGCCTTCTCGGTAGTTGCGCCCGCCCTGGAGAATGCCTTCCCACCAGATGTCAAGGAAATAAATAACTATCTGATTTTTAGAAGACATCTGAAGGCAGCCCTGTTTAGGGAAGTTTTGAATGTTTGATGTTCTGTTGTGCTTTTAATTCTGTTGGGAGCTGCCCAGAGTGCCTGGGGAAACCCAGCCCGATGGGTGGAGTATAAATAAATAAATAATAATTATTATTATTTATTACACTGAGATCCAGCGCCGAGGGCCTTCTGGCGGTTCCCTCATTGTGAGAAGTGAGGCTACAGGGAACCAGACAGAGGGCCTTCTCGTTAGTGGCGCCCGCCCTGTGGAACGCCCTCCCATCAGATGTCAAAGAGATAAATAATTACCTGACATTCAGAAGACATCTTAAGGCAGCCCTGTTCAGGGAAGTTTTTAATATGTAACGCTGTACTCTTTTTAACACTGATTGGGAGCCGCCCAGAGTGGCTGGGGGCTCAGCCAGATGGGCGGGGTATAAACAATAAATTATTATTATTATTAAAAAAAGTTCCTAATCTGGTTATAAAGCTTTGGCATTTCGAACCCTACCTGTGGTTCTCCTTTCGTGTCTCTCTCCACCCCCACCTTCTTTTTGTATAAGCAAATGTTTGCCAAGGCACATGTTCCCATTCAACGGCGCGAGGCAAAAGTCAACACGGAAATCCGAGCTATCGTAAGTAAATACATACTGAATGTCGAGCAGCTGTACAAGATCATCTCAACGTGGGCCGGGCAGCTAGAACTGGTAACGTCTCGTCGAGGCTTTTGTAACATGGTGTGCGGCAGCCTCCGGCCCAGGGTCCAAAAGCGGCACACTATGGCTGTTGGGAGTGTGGTAACTCTTATTGCAGCAGTGTGCAGAAAGCAAGAGTCTGGGCAAGACTGCTGGTTTGAAGGGCGAAAGGAAGTGGGAGCTGCCCAAATAAAACAATGGAGAAATCCAGGATTTTAGCGTCGCTGGGGCTGGGTTGCATGTCGTAGCCAAAAGAAGAAGGAAGCTTTCCTGCGGAATCTTTATTTTTTATAATCGAGAGCGTTCAAATTTTAAAGCCCAGCAGGTCTGCAGTCAAGTCAATGAAGCATAAGTTTTCTTGTATTGCAGTAGGGCGCGCCTCTCCTGGTATGCCCCATGGAGGACCTTAAAGTCCACAAATAACAACATTTTGGAGGTTCCGAGCCTCAAGGTGGTTAGATTGGTCTTAACTAGGGCCAGGGCCTTTTTAGTACTAGCCCCGACTTGGTGGAACGCTCTGTCACAAGAGACTAGGGCCCTGCGGGACTTGACCTCTTTCCACAGGGCCTGCAAGACAGAGTTGTTCCGCCTGGGCTTTGGTTTGGACTCAGTCTGACCCTTGTGTTTCCCTCCCCTTATGGTTTTTATCTATGGGCTATTATTAAAATGAGGCTGCATTTTAAATTGCATTTTAACCTGTATTTTAAATTGGTCCCCCCCCTATGTTTTTACTGTAATTTTACTGGCGTTAGCCACCCTGAGCCCAGCTCTGGCCGGGGAGAGTGGGGTATGAATGAATGAAGGAATAAATAAATAAATAAATATTATGCTGGATTTGGGGCTGTGTGGGGTTTCTTAAAGTAGGTAGCCCTTCATTGCAAGAAAGCTAGACCCACCTCAGCCCGCCTTCCACTGAAAATATTAGCAGGGAGCTGCACTAAAACTGGAATCGCTTGAAAGGTTTTTCTTACAGCCAGCGGAATATAAATTTCATCAAAATAAATGAATTTTTAAATGTCTTAAAACTTAATAATAATAGCATGAAAACGTTGGCAGCATTAAGATAAATTCAACAGTGTAAATAAGTTTGATGAATGTAATAATGGAATACTGAATGGTTTAGTTTTTGTAAAATATGCAGGGATTTATGATATGCAGAATGAACCATAGAAAGAGAAGAAGGGAAGTCAACTGATACTTTAAGGATGTTTAAATGAGTATTCTAAATTGTAAAACAGAAGATTTAATTACACACACACACACACACAAACACACACACACACACACACACAACAGCAGCAGCAACAACAACAACAACAACAGCCTAAGGTAAACAAGCAGAGAAACTTTTCACATAGTGAAAATTGGCTTGAATGTCATTGACTGGTTGGGCATCTCTAGGCAGGGCTGGGAGAGAGACCCTCGCCTGAGGCCCTTGAAAGCTGCTGCCAGTCTGTGTAGACAATACTGAGCTAGGTGGAGGAACGGCCTGACTCTGTGTTAAGGCAAAAGAGTGGAGGAATGACTTTTAACTGTTCCTTGGTACAGAAGGAGAAGTTTCACCCGTCCTCTCGACTCCTCTCTATTCTTCCTCCAGATGAGCAAGAGGCATTGTTCAAGGACAATGGGCAAAAACATTCAAGGAGAATCCAGAATATAGCCAGTGTCACAGTTGCGGAGGAACGGTGGGAGGCAGCAGCTGGCGAACCCCCAAGGGAAGAAGGCTCAGAGCCCGGGGATTGGTGGTGGGACAACAATGAGTGGTCGGAGGGAGAAGGCTGGGAGGAGGAGGTGTCAGAAGTTGAAGAGGTAACAGGACTTGGGGAGAAGGGAGAGTCTGCAGCATGGAGAAGTCCAGAATCAAAATCGGGAGAGTGGCCGGGGGGAGGTGAAGGGGCAGAGATGAGTCAGGCTGGTGAAGAAGTCAAGGTGTTTCCTGCTCCTGCTGTGACCTCTCTGCTGGTCTCCTAGGACCATGAGAGGGATGAAGCAGGAAGAGCAAAGGGAGATATGGAAGCATAGTCTCAGATTGCTTGGGGAGGAGAAGCCTGAAGAGGAGGAGCCTTAGACAGCTGTGGGAAGGTGGGGACCAACTGAGGAAGTGTTGCTGTGCTCATTAGACCTGGCACTCTTGGGCAGATCCTATGTTTCTAATAAAGAGTTAACTTCGCCTACTCCCTGTGATTTATGGCAGGCTCGCTTCTGAAATTGAACTTGGAGAAGAAGCAGGAAGGAAGGGAATCCCCTGATGGAAGGGCACATTCCAGCCAGGCAAGAACATGCAAAGAGGGTGCAAATCAGTGGTGATGGAAAAAAGA